CTTTCTTAATCATGCCGCCAAAGAGACGGCGATAGTGAGAGCGAGATATGAATGAGATTTATGAGCACACCGATGGGGTACATTTAGAATAACGAGTTGAGTAAATGAATGATAGGATGGAGCAAGCTTGACACAACAGATAGGGATGTTGACACGGAGAGGGTGCGTTGACAATGAACATGGGTAGAAGCCTTAGGAACTAAAACCAAAATCATCATCGAGAGGCGTTAGAAATCGACCTTAATGATGAGGAGGATGATGAAAATGTCCTAGTCAAGTGATAGAGAGTTCCTATGAGGGATTCCGACAATAGAAAGTGGGAGAGTGGTATATAGATAAAGATTCTTAAATTTTATGATAACTTCCAAGCGAAAGAGTTTTTGGATCGATTATCGATAGTGAACGAGATTATGGAGTTTAAGGAGGTTCCTAAGGACAAACGAGAGTCTTTAGTAGCCACTAGATTTAGAAAGATTACGTCTTGGGAAAAGATGAAGAAATATATGTGTATCGCCTTCTTATCCTACAACTTCTAAAGGATGATGTATAAATGATTACGGGATTTGAGATAGAGAGCTTGATCGGTAGATGATTATACCATTGAGTTATACTAGTTGTTAGCCCAAAAAGAACTACAAGAGACGAGAGGATCAACTGGTGGCGAGGTATATTGGTAGACCGAAACCACATATTAGGGACTCCGTTAATATGTTTGACCCCGTGTGTCTTTTGACTACCTTTTAAAACACACTATAGGATGAGAAACAATCCTATCAAAGTAGCTTTATTTATCCTTTCAAGCACGGGAAGAAGTAGCAACATAATTGGTGGTGTTGGTATAGTCCGAGCAGGAAAAGAAGGTAGCAAGAACACCATAGTTACTAAATAGAGTAGCAGGGCAACCGGAATCAATATAAAGTGCTTTGAGTATGGTGAAGTTGGCCATAGATAGTCCAAGTGTTGAAAGGCAAGAAATAGAGCACTTCTTATTGACGCCGAAGATTATAATAAAGGTGAAGTAAAGTTGACTAGTGATCCAGTTTATTATGATAAAGATACCTCGAAAGAGGAGGTTGTGATGGGTGATGAGGGGATAGTACTAGTTGTTAAAAGGTCTTACTTGACTCCTAAAGTTATTGATAATGATTGGCTAAGAAGTCATATTTTCCGATCCACATGCACAATTTGAGGTAAGGTATATCGTTTTATCATTGATGCTCGGTAGTTGTGAGAATATTGTATTTGATGAAACAACGTAGAAACCGAATCTCAAAACAGAGAGGCATCCTAGGCCTTACAAGTCGACTCGGCTTTAAAGAGAGGGAAAGGTAAGCTGTTTCTTAACGAGCTTTAATTTCTTTTTCTCGTTGGCTCTAAGTATCGGGATAACGTGTGGTGTTATGAGGTTGTAATAGATGCATGCCATTTACTCGTTGGGTAGGCCTCGATAGTATGATAAGGGTATAATTCATGATAGGCTAAACAACATATATAGTTTTATGTTTAATGGGATAAAAATTATACTTATACCTAGCAAGATCCTAGGTGTTTCCAAACTTGCAGGAGACAATAGCAAGCTAGTTTCGCTAGCTCAATTTAGGAAGATAATTGAGAAGATTAACCCCAATGCTTATCACCCGAAGTTGCCTAGTCATATCCATATCGTTGATGTTTTCAATGTCAAGCATTGATTCCCTTTCACGGTGACTCTTCTAATGATGATGATGCAAACAATTCAAGGGCAAATTTTTTCTTTCTTGGGGGACCGATGCGGACCAACGAGGCTTAGGAATTCATGAAACAAGTATAAGCGCAGCGAAGGCTGAAAAAAACATTGCTAGCTCAATTTTGTGATTTTTTTAGCCTAATTCGATGTCAAACTCGGCCAACGAGCAAAATTCATGGGCTATGTCCATGATGTAAGGGTATTTTGGCCAAAAATAAAAATCATTTAGGCCCTCAAAATCATAATTTACTATTTTTTTGGGATTTTTTTAAATATTTTTGGATTTTAGTGTTTGTTTCCTTTTCAAATTGCTTTAGGGTTTTGATTGAAATTTACTATTTATATATGACTTTGAGGTTGAAAAACGGCACTTTTTCTTGATTAATAAATGAGAGGGTATCTCATTTTTTTTAATTTTCGGCATTCTTTGAATCAATAGGATTGAAGCCTAATTCCTAGTATTTGTGTATGCAATTCAACGAGTTATAGTAAACCAAGTATCTAAATTTCGGATCAATAGTATTTATCATTTTTTTATGAGTTTCCACTACGCCACTAATACATCATGCAAACATATAACACAAATAAGTCATCCATTGCATGGTCCACATAAATCAAGTAGACATGAAAATCATGTAGGAACAAAGAACATAAACAATGCCTCAAGTACACATCATGGTCGAATAATTCATACAATTAAGCCAAACCATTTTCAACACATAAGTAATCATTTTTCATGCCATTTCAAACTTCTAAATCTCAAATTTATCATTAACCTCAAGTGAACCTTTATTTCCCTTATTTCACACATTAGGTCGAAATTTGACCAATGGAAGATTAACTTACATTCCTTGTTTTTTACTCAAATTTCCTCATCTATGTCATTAATTAAGCATTTTATCATCAAATGTACTTGAATTAGACCAATCAAAACAATTCATCCAAATATTCCTTCTTGGCCGAAATGTTATAACTAGTGAGCAAATCTGAATTTTTCTAACCTAACACCATAAAAACACTTAAATCATTTCATCAAATACTTTATATACATTAAACCCTTTAACCATAAATTTCTTCATGTTCTAATATATATCAACCACCTTGTTTTAAGAATAAGGACATCACCAAAACTCACATGTTTATTCCAATTAACCAACCAAACATAACAATTTCAATATAACTAACACAACTATAACACATAAATCATTCAATCCCATCATCATCACCATAACTTCAATGATTAAATGATTAAACCATAAACAATAAAACTTCAATTTAACATCTAAGAAACATCATAAACACTAGTTTCTTATGGTATAGTGAGGATTACACTTATCCCACTAAAAGTTTTTTCAAATCACCTCCTTTTCTCCTAGGATTTCTTCCTTCTCCTTTCTCCTCTAGTTTCGGCCAAAATGGAGTTTCTTTCTCCTCCTTTGCTTGTTTCCTAAACTGATTTTAGGGTGATTTTAGAGTGTTTTAAGGTTATCTAAGGTGGTTTGGTGTGTTGGTTTGGTGGTCTTCCTCTTAGTTTTGCTTATTCTCTCTTTGGTGTAACCTTGAACATCTAAAGTTTCTAACCACTCTTCCATCTTCTTCTTCCATATTGATAGCCATGTTTTTCCTTAAGATTAAGCCAAGTGTATCACACTTGATTTGATCTTAAACAATGACAATTAATGGCTTCTCTAGATTTCTCTTCATTTTTCTCCTTTCTTCCTCCTTTTTTCTTAGAATTTTGCTTGATTTTTCTTTGTTTCTTCCCCTCTTTTGCTGACTAAATCAGCCACTTTTCTCTTGACTTTTCCAGATTTTTCTTGCTGGAATTAATCTCCCAAAATCAATTTAATTAGTCTCCCAAATTATTATAATTTTACACTTTAGTCCCTAAACTTTTAATTAGTGCAATTGGCCCCTCCAATTTCTATCAGTAACTTCATAATTTCCCTCAATCTAGCCCTTATCCTAGGCCTTTTCCAAGAGCAATTAAAGTCTCTAAAGCTGCTTAATCATTTTAATCAAATACTCAAACTTTTAATTGTTTCAATTGCACCCATATGGTTTTGCAATTTCAGCCATAGTTCAAAGCATAATCATATCAATTAATGTTATAATCCTCTAATTCACACTTAAATTAATTCATTAACCTTTCAAATCATACTTGTATTTAATTTATTCTTAATACAAGTATAAACTTTCATTCTTCATTTTATCTAAATATTGATTTATTAATTAAACAAAATATCCTTACAAAATATTTACATTTAAGGAGGATTTTGGATTGGGGGTATTATATTTAATATTGGCACTCGTTTATAATTTTTAATGTGATTCAATTCATCATTCAATATAAAAATTAAAAAGATAGTGCATTTTATTCTATCATTTATGTATTTTTAATTATTCATAATCTCTTTTAATTAAGCATGGACTTAATTATTCATTAGTTTGTGAAGTTGAGTTTTTGTAAAACAATGAGAGAATTATTTTAAAATTGATATTACTAGTATTTACTTTCTCTCATAGCAAATTCACATTTCTATCATATTTCTCTCTAACTCTTTTATTATCATTATAACATTTTTTTACTATTATTATTATTATTTTCTGACACATGTAAAGAATAATAAGATTTTTTTTTAATAAATAGTTATGCATTCATTGACCGTTATGTTAATTTTTAACTTCTTTCAATTATTCTGTGGATTAGAATTTCTCATTAAATAAATAAATAATCGCTTTTTTTTTTTTTAAATAATCAAAGTCTAACCCATAGTTATTATAGAGCTAGAATTAGCATAGATATTTTCTGTTTCTTACACGAATCTGACGGATTATAGATACCAGAGCTTTGCAATATTTGAGTGATCCCAATTCTGTATATTTTTACCATAGAAGTTCCCGTGAAAAACATATCCATAAAAAATATTTGAACTCAACATAAAATACATCCACCATATTAAATACTACAAATTAAATATTAAATTAAAAAAATATTCCTGCAACTATTATTTATTGATTTTATTTTCAAAATCTTAAATTTTTATAATTAATTAAAATATCAAAATAAATTTTACAAAACTATCCACGGCAACAAGCATGATACAAAACTAGTTGATACTAAAATGAAGTATCGAACATAAACAAGTTAACCTTTACATATCCATATAAACAAAAAAGTTAGCAGTCCATTGGGTCGCCGTTTTGATGGAAACCGGGAGGCTTCTGCATTTTCGCTCTTTAGCCTCACATAAAGGACCTGCAAACCAGTCTCTCAAGGGACAAGCATATTGGCAAGCGTAAGCTGCTTCTCCAGAGGCAAATACTGTTTTAAAGATGTACAGGTATGATACATCACACGCAACAGAAAAGAGGCAATATCCTTTTCACTTTCATCAATAGGTTGTGAGCTAGGTGCATTGTCAGGGAGTGCTTTGTCAGTAACCCAGCTGTATATGCGTTCTGTTGATGTCCAAAGGTTAGAAACAATGGATTCTGCAACAACTTCCCAACTAGGTTCGGTCACAAGGGAAGGGAGGGTAACCGGTAGATCACTCAACACGGATAACTCATCCACAGTCAGAAGAGGCACATATTTGCAACAGCTACCAGATAGCAGACCTAGAAACTGCAGTGCCTGCAGAAGAAACGTGAAGACCTTTTATTCGAAAGCACGATCCCAAAGAAATAAAAAATTAAAAGCAAAAAGACTTTGAAGGTGAGAAATAATACAGGTTCCTTTACCCCTTAGGATTTAGACGACACAGTTGCAGAAAACAAAGCAAGGGAATCACTCCCTTTCTTTGCAGAAATGTATTTCAAAAAATTCCAATTAAACAGAGCCGAACTTGAAAAACATGTAAACAAGAATGGAAGTGCAAGTATATCATATCAACTTGGCATGCATGTACGCACCATGCAGGGAGCCCCCACCCACAGCATGGGCCTGCAGGTAAACAAAACATCCATTTCCTAAAACCCATGCCTTTATTCAAGAGTAGTGACTTGTGTTGGGAAATGGGAAGTCGCCTATACATTTTGATTGTGTAATAAAGGAGCTTACTGTGGAGGGATAGATCGAGACACAGCTAATTTCCACAGCATCAACAAGCCACTGTCTTTTGACACTTCCATCTGCATATTGCAAAGCTGCTACAACTTCCGCATGTAAATTCCAAAGACCTATATTGTTAAAAAGAGGTGCATTAAACCAACCAATTCTAAACAAAAAATGCCAAGGCAAGAACAACTGAACCATGCAGCAAATTGAATTCAATTTAGCATAATGAAAACAACAGTAGCAATATTTAGAATTACTGGCTCGTAGTTATTCAACTACTCTGCTTTTGCAAAGTAAAGAAACTAACCCTTTGATTTAGAGTTCAACACACAAGCTTTTAGTCTTCCAAGCTCAGTTAACGGGATGGAACCCATCCTAACTAGCTTCACTTTTGCTAGAATCTTCTTTAGGACTTCATTTGAATGGCTTCCTCCTTGCACAAAATTCCCTAGTGGAACCTGCAAAGCACACATTGCAAGATAATGTTCTGAGAATAAAACGCAATGGAAATTCAAATGCTCTTACATAAACTCTACGACACTAAATTATTTCTCGAACCAACTTGGGGTCAGCTCAGTATTTACTGACCAATTAACTGGTTGAATATAAGTATTCGTAAAAGAATTCCAAAGAGTACTCCCCATAGTACTCTGGAAACTTGATGCTCTTCAAAAAAAATTTCAGTAGATATGTATGATTCAATGAACTAAATATCGGCAATGCAGAAATGTAGACAAGATTTTTCTGAAAAGAAATGCTCCAAAGAAAGAGATAACTGACAGAACATTTACCTGCAGGAAATACAATAACCAATCCTCTTGAGCCTTTGCTAAGCATTGAACAGCCACACACCATTCCTCTGCAGAGTTTGGCAGATCCACTCCTGTGAAGACAGTAGATTCTGATGCAGGCAATAAGTGAAACAACACCTCTATGCACTTTACAAGGTTTGATATGTACTCTACAGAGCTGAGGACAGCTTCTTCTAGACACTGAGAGAGACCCTTCCAGCACGAGATTCTCAATGAGCTCTTCTGATCAGGGCTATGCCCTTGGTATGAAAAATCAGAACAAAAGTATTCAGCAATATCATCAAATAGTTTCTCTAGCCTGGAACCTGAGAATACTTTTATGAGGCCTGCAAGATGAAAGAGCAGACAGGACTGCAGATTCAGCTCTAGCATCCTGAACCTAGACAAATCAGACAGCTCATCAAGGAAAGTCAAGAGGGGATCAAATTGGTTTGCATGTGCTATTGAGAATTGTACACATTCCTCCCGAAGGACTCCCTCTTAAGAGCTGAATCTGGCAAAAACACCTCAGATACTTGAGCCTCATATCTCATGCAGCGTCTAATAATCAATCCCCAATCCACTGTTGGCAATCTAGGAGCTCGGGAAAGACATCTTAAAACAGTTACAACAGTGCCCACATGTGCAACAGTCCCTGCCTAAAATTTAGACAATAAGAAATTAGACGGAAGAATTCACAAAAAGCCTCTAATTGAGATCAAAATAACCGAAGAAATAATATAGGCAAGCAATTAGATAAGCCTAACGAGTAGGTTGTGAAAGAGAGCAAACATTAATAAGCCTGTACATATTTGCTTATGCTTATGCTGTAAATCAACGTTGTGATAACAAAGATTTCCCAGCACCAGATGCATCAAATAGTTGGTTTTGAATAGATAACTCTATGATGCAGAACCCAAAGTTATGGAGTAGACAGAAGTTGATTGTTCTCTTAATTCCAAGGTAGAAATGTCTCTGCAAATGCACAAAAAACTAGAGTCCATCTCTCACTTCCTATAACTAAACTTCAATTATCCTACAATCTTTTACCATAGACAGTGAGAAGCAGAACCATGCATGATAGTTCTTTCCAAAAATATACTAGAAAAAACTCATGCCTTCTGCTAGTCACACTCTAGCCTAAAGCTGAACAAGGATAGAGAAATAGAGTAGAGAGGAGAGGAAGATGAGGAAGAAAGTCAACCAATAGAGAGAACTGAGGAGGTTCAATTTCAGTAACATCCAAAGCTATCTCAAAACATAACATAGGGTGCTTTACATAAGGGCCCCAAAGAAACCCTAGCAATCTTTAAAAATAACCTTAAGAAAATAAATAACGAATATTAATGCATCTTTCAAATATGAAACAACGTAATTCCTTAGTGGATCCTCCATCATAACCCGCACACCAGCACAACACAGTAGTGAATCCACCAAAAAAACAAGGGGCACTCTGCAAACCTTCCGTCTCCTTCATTTACTTTCATTCTTCCACACAGCAAGGTCGAATAACAAAGTGCATTCCAATTTAATAAAATGCAAACAAGATATGTACTTACACACATACATATGCACGAGCAGACACATCGAATGTGAGAACTAGTTTTGGTATTCATCACCAACAGACACACTACAAAAGACATGCTTATAGACAAGCCTTTAGGTATATACATAATATGTGTGCACACATATAGCAGAAATCCTGTGTTTATCACAGGCATGCATTCTCACTAAAAGGGCTACACAAACATTCATGTTTGCTGAGAGGGTAGAGGAAACAAATGACATCTCATATTAGATAAAGATAGCCACAAAGGAATAAAATTACTACAATAAGCACAAAATCTGGAATGTTTAGCGGAACCTACCAGAGAGTTATTTAGATGCATTAACCATGAAGACAGCTTCATAACTAAATTGTCCTCAGGAAAATTGTGAGAAATTGTTTTGCTAACAGCAACATCAGTGTGATCATTGCTTTCAGCATTTAGAAGTTCCTTTGACCACAAACCATTTCGAAGGAATGAAACCGCCCAAGCTGCATTTTGTTGCATTTGAAGATCATCAGAATTTTGTGCAATGAGAAATATCTCTTGCACCAATGTTGTCAAAAATGGCTCACAAATAGGGCTTGAAAGTAAAGGGCCCAAAATATGAGAAGATTCCTGTCAAGCAAATCAAGGAATGGTGTTCAAAACATAAACCACTATTTTTGTGAGGTTAACTCTTTCAAAAACACTAAGAATATAAGAATGAACCTTTTGTTCACAAGCAGTCTTCATTGAGGCTGAGAAGTGATGGGCATGAACCAAAATTCCAGCACCAGCTCCCATTGCATTAAATACTCCAAGCATCCCACCCAAATGGATGATAGGAGGGCCAGAACTAGAGTAGCATTTTCTAAACATCTCCAGTAAACCTTTTACACATTCAACTTCAAGAGGGTGCACACCTTCATTCGAAATGCAAGCGAGAAGGCTGCCCGCACCAACACATGATGCCAACATCAAGCTCTGATGGAAAGTACCAGATTTTTTAACAGATAATAACTCAGATATGAGCTCATGGTAGCCCTTCAATAGATAATCCAGCTCATTATCATTGATCATTTCCACTCTCCGGCAGAATGCCACAATGCTGGGAAGTGCAAGACAGGATCCTACTGATAAAGCTTTCACCATTCTTTCACTAGAAAAAGAAGAGTTTGTTACCCGAGCGTTTACATGTGGGATCCATGATATAATCAAGTCCTTTATCTTAAGCATTGCATCATGAGCCCCAGCTCTATATATTGCATTGAAAGAGCTCCCCAAGCCAAGGACAAGACCAGCAACACCCCAAGGATCTTCCTCCAAGTCATCACACTTCTCAAGCGATGAGTCAGATGTCAAATTGGTTTCCATATTGTTAGCACCCATGCTGAAATATGGAGACAGACTTTCTAGAATATCATATGAAGTAATACTGAGCTGGCTTGTCATCAGAAGTAATGTCCTAAGAATCTTCCCTAATAAGTCAACCTCCTGAGCTTTGTACTTTTCTTTCTCGAAGCCAACATTATCAGCAGCTTCAACCCTGGTAAGAAGATCTTGGCATGCAAAGCCCAAGCTAAGCCCACAAGCTCCTTTGACCAGGATGCTTTTGCTGCCATGCAAAACCTAAAAGCATGCTGTCTTATAACAAACGCCATATAACTTTTATAATCCTTTGCAAAAGAATCTAAGTTGATCCCTTTTATAATAATTTGCTAAAGCATACTTCATTAATCCTTCCATTAGTAGCCAAAAAAAAAAAACTATTCATACAAATAAGCTCTTTTTGAAAGGTTATGGCAGCATTAAGGCTAGGGAATAGAAGCAAGCTTTTTTGAGAGGACTCAAATAAAATGTTTGGAAACAGTTCCAAACCACAGATCTTCATACCTTTATAAGTCCAGTGATATTTTCAAATTTCTGCTTGTTATCAGTTACATGAAGACAACCTGAAACCAATCCAAGAGATATTGCGGCTGACCATTGGCGATGATCATGCTCATTCTGGAACAACCAGTTTAGCAGAAACTTCGAAGCAGTTGATTTAACAGTATGGGTAGACGGAGGCAACACCTAACAATAGCCAGAAAAACCAACCATTCAACTGATAAAGCCTGTGAATTAAGAAGTTTGATTGGGAATGGAAACGCATTGCTATTTGATCAAAAAGCCAAACCATTACTCAAAAACTGGAATGACTGGTTAAGAGGCCTTTAATAGATAAAGATGAAATAGCAGGATTGTCCCTGGGCCTGAAACCAGTTAACTGAGCACCAAACTTTTGCCAGTCTCATATCCTTGCTTGAGGGAAATTTGCAGTGCAGATGTCCTGGATGGCATTTTCAATTTTTTTTTTTCTTTTTCAATATCACTGTCTGTCTCCTGCATTAATGCAGTGCATTTGAGGCTGGCTGAAATTTGAACCCACGATCTCTACCTTCTATCTCATAAATATCATGGGCATACAAATATAATTGATCTTATGATTGCTACAATGATCTCATGCATCAAAAAAAGTCAAGACATCAGTAAGTAGTCAGATTGTGAATTCCAGAGAGGTCTGTAGAGCAATCTCTTACCACACAGAGTGCACCAACAGCCAGAGCAATATTTTCAGCAGAACTTGGGATAGACTCTTCGGCAAGTCGCATCACACTCTGCAGGACAATAATGCAGAAGAATAGCATCACACATAGCATGAATCTGTTTAAAATTGGTGCAGATAAAACATTATGGTATAAAGGCAATATTAGAAGAGGAAAAGGTGAACCTTCAGGATATCAGTAGCAGCTTTAGAAGTTCTATCTAATGAAACAGATAATGCTTTAGCATCAAGGGTTGAAATATTTGCCCTCATCCAACGCCACATGAAGGACTTCCAAGATTGCAATGAAAGAAGGGCAATGAAAATATTTCTTGATAATTGAAGAGAAGCAGCTATTTCAACCAGTGCACTCTCATATCCAGCATGGACATCTTGTGATACCTGGAGAGTAACACAGATTTAACTATCATAATAATTCTCAAGAGAAAAACTCAATGTATCATTTCTTACTCTTGACAGGCATCGATTGTTCACATCTTTAGGGGTCAAGGAAAGGCATAGTAGAGCTGCCCCGGGTAATTGTCCAGCACTACCTTTTGTCCCTGCAAATTTATTGCTCATTTGATTTACTGTACAGGTCACACGTAAGAAATGAACAGACTCTAATACAACTTGATGGAAAATGACAAGCGGAGTAGATAACCTAGCATTCAATACGCTAAACCTTCCTCATAATACAAGAAAGTAGAGAACTCGAAATCCAAACAAACAAACAAAAAAAAAAAGAAAAAAAAAAAAGAATTTTCAAGATTCCTTTTCATCCATCAAATGGCCCCCTCAAAGCGCACAACATATGTACTTGTAGAGGAACACGAACTCCTAAAGAGTCAAAACCAAATAAAAATTAAATCTTAATGAAATAAAGCTACATAATAATCCAGATAATAGCAAAAGCATGCCTATTCCAAATCTTACAATTAAAATCTTCTCAGATATGACAAAATTACACCATTAGTGAAAGTTCCAAGTAATTAGGAGAAACACATTCCTATTGTACCGCATGAAGAAGGCTTGCGGCAGTCACCTTTAAGAAAGGGCAACCACCCTTGTCTGCTAGATTCCTGTATTTGTCAACCGATATTATCAGTCTATGATGAATCTAATATTTCATTTTTCCATGTTTTACTTTCTTTTTCCTTCTCACCTTTGTCTGCTAGATTCCTGAATTTGCCAAACAATATGATCCATCTCTGATGAATCTAATACTTCATTTTCCATAGTTTACTGTATTATTCATCTCATATATTGCTTCTCTACTAGAGGTTTTATAGTGTGCTATTCCTCTCATCTTATTTTCCTTTTTCATTTCCGAAGTCCACTGGGTATCTTTTAACTGTTTTTCCCACTTTCTGCATCAGGGCCTGTAGCAAGGGCAGACAATAAACTTCTCACAATCACCTAAGTTGTCATGATGCCATATAATACTGGGGACTGAGGATGTTGAGGATTAGAGACGAAACAAAAATTCACAAGGAAATCAGCAAGATCTTACATCAGAACCCAATTGCATAATACCTGAAGGAAATAGAACCTGTGGAAATACATTCAGCAACTTCTCAATCTTACTTCCAGCAACTTTTTTTCCTTCACCAACCTTCGCCGATTCCTGGAGTAAATATAACCAAAGTATTTAAGCTTCAATATCTTATGGCTTTCAGCAAGTGATGGAGAAAAGGTGGACGTGTTCTTTACACATGTTCATGAGTTATGATCTTGACTTGAAATCCTTCCATAGCCGTGAGTATATCAAGATTCGTCTCACATAAAAGCAAATCTGTGTTCACTCTCTTAAAATCTGGAATTCCTATTTGTATATCTGTAACCTAGTAAAACATAAGGACATTCAGAGAAAATCTGGTTTAACTAGAGCATGTGACATTAGATGTAAGGAACTAAACATGGTTAGCAGCAAAACAGATGAGTAGCAGGACTAGCTATAGTACATTTGTCAAAGTAAGCCTATCAAGACAGAAGATTTTGAAATGATAAAATTTTCCAATGATTTTATAGAACTTTAAATAAAAACATCTCACAAAATTTACCTCATATTGGCTCAGGGCCTCAATGGCAAAGATCCTTGCCTTTGCCCACTCAGGTGCTTTACTGACATGTATGGCAGTAGCAATACCCCATAAAATTTGTAAAACATTACTCGAAGCTTCGGAATATGCTTCAGCATCCATTGCACCCCATTTGAGAAGGAGGCATATGCTGTCAATGGGAAGAAATCATGTGGCATATATTAGTCTTTCTATTGGAAAAAGGATGAAAAATTTACTGCTAAATGGACAAGGCAAAAAGATTAAACAGAAATCTCAGCCACAACTAAGAATGTTGTCCTGAAGGTAAATCAACAAAACTGATCACTGTGGCCTTAAGGGTAATGGGGGAAAAAATGGAACAACATAGATTGAAACAAAGAGAACCAATGGACATGTTTTAGGGTGCAATTTTTCAATCAGGAAGAAAAATGTCGAGAAAGGTTCTTATTTAAACACTGGGTAATACTGCCTCTTGAGCAGGGTAAAAAATTTCCCTTTTTACAAAAAAGATACGAGTGCCTAGGTTGCTACAGGCAGGCAATCCTTTAGGAATCTGATTACCTAGCCTCACCTTCCTTTTGGTATGATCTATATTGGTTACATAATCAGGATTGTCAAATGAAGGCGTAAATTTAAATCAAAACCAGTACATGCTTACCTTTGTGCAAGAACCGGGTCTATCGTGTAGTCCACCGCATGCTTACCAATGACATCCCAGGCAGTATAAAAATCTAAAAAGATAATTTATTTGACTGTGATTAAGAAGATGACATAATGGTGATTAGTGCAATTTTAACTTATCATGCACATAATTGCTGGAAGACAAACAATTGAAATGTTTTGGTAAGAAAATAAATGTTATCCTGCCAAAAACAATTGAAGTATTTGTGGTTAAACATAGCATTCTAATTTTCAGGCCACGTACAAGCATGAAACATATATTTTCAAAGCACCAAATCGTTCAAACCACAACATTTTAAAAGGTTCAGAGATATTCTGAAGTAAAACCTGCCCTCTGCAGTCAAGGTAAGGATACAAATACAATAATACAGCATTAGTTTATCATCATAATAAATGAAAAATGACAATATCCATCCAGTACAAAAAGGAAGAGGCAGAAAACAAAAAGAAAAGGTGGATGAACATCCATCTTGAGAAGTATCAAAAACTTGGGGATAAAGAAGCTCAGGATCATTCCAGAACTTTCTGCAGAGGAGCTTCAGATTCTCTAAGCAAGCGCAAAGCACCTCCATTCCAGCCACAGCTTCTAAGAACTTGACATGAAATTCTAGCAACTAAATGTCATCATTTATGAAGGTCTTGACTAGCAGATAACTAGAAACCAAAATGAGTACCCTATTACATACTTCAACTTGCAAGACAAATTTGGATAAAAAATATACATGTTGTTATCAAGAAATATCATTTTTTTCAGACATATAAAGGAAAGAGCAAAAGAAGCAACATTTTCAAATCTAGCTATGTCTGAGATATAAATTGGAAATGGAACAGGATTGGATTTTAAAACAGAATCAGGATTACCAATTACGTCAGCTTCACATAGATGTGCGAGGCTCTGAAATCCAAGAGCTTTAATTATATGATCTTGGCTCTCAATGCAAGCCTGTCATTTCAGAGGAATAAGACCCTGTTAAATTGCACAAACTCAGGACGTTAGAAAATAGAGCAGCTATGACTTCACACATACCGAAACAGACAAGATAAGGTCCACTCCCCTATCAGGGTTTTTTTGGCAAACATCCCGAATGGAGGCAGCCAAACTTATTAAGATATTTCTCTCAGATTTGAATTCAGTAAACCCCTTTGGAAGCAATATTGCCTAAAAGTCAACCAATATGTTAGTATCAAAGCATAGTAATATAGCAATAGAATCCAAGAATAAAACAAGCTCATGGAAGAGAGAATGTGTTTAGCAGGAATTTTGAAAGTGAATGAGCATGGATGGATGACCTTTGTTAATTTACCATATGAAATTAGAGATTTTAATTTGTACTTATTTAGGGTGTCTAGACATTTTAGGTTATCATGACATTTAGTATTTGTTAGAAATTTTATTTTCTTCTATTTCCTGTTTGAAAAGTTAGCCTTTGTTCATTTTCAGTACTGCTGAAGGCGGATGTGCCATTTCAGCCATAATCTTTTCTTCATGGCAGCCATATTCACAATAATTGCTGTACGATAGACATTCAGTTTTGAAGCGCCTGTGAGCTTTGTGAGCTCTACAATCATAAGCATTCTAAACAGTCATCCACCCTTCTATACCTTCAGGACAAAAGGAGCAGATAAAATCTAAGAAAACACCAAGAATCTTTAGAGCAAAATATGCCTCCTGAAGCCTGCAACTTGGCTTAACAAAATCCAAGAATCTTAAGAGCAAGCAATCACTATACTTCAAGTTCGTGATAATGAGCTCAAAACAGAACCAGCAGAAGGAACACTAGTTCCATAATTCCATGATAAGAAATGGCAGAAACTAAGAAACTAAGAATTGCAGAATGATGACAAGAAGTTCCAGAAGTGGATTTTGTTTAGGTAGAATTGGCACATGTTTAAAAACTTGACTCCATTATTCAAGCAGACAGGATGTTCAAGAAATTAATTCATCATTCCAAAAAAAAAACTTGAATGGTGACATTGAAGGCAAGTAAAAATGCATGTATCAAGGCCAGAAGTGCAACTTCAAGCCATAGAGAAAACATAGAAATGCAGTTCTTACTACTACACCTCAAAACACAAGGTTGAGTTTTTCCCAACAAAGGGAGAATGGTGCAGGATGGATGAAAGATCTTCGAAAAATACTAATCTTGGAAAATTAATTTTACTTCACATGTTACTCATTTGGGGAATCTACTTGTTTTATGTTACTATAAATCTAATATTAACTAGAACTTTTTTGGTTGGGACTTTATTCTAATTCCCCTTTGTCTTTTGGCCATAGGGGTTCGGTTCTTTTAGAAAAATCACATCTGTCTTGTTTTAGGGTTTCTTGTTAAATTGGTATTAAAATTAGAATTGTTCTCTGCCTATGCCATTCTTCAAAGCTTTATCTTCCCCTTTTTCTTCCTCCTGTTCTCCCCTTTCTTCCCTCACTTCCTTCCAAAATCCTCTTCTCGTCATGTCCTACGTAATGAAGCTTAATAGCTGTATTAATTTTGACACAAATAAATAGAAATTATCTTCTCTTTTTTGAGCAACATGCTAGTCCCACTTCATCCTCAGCATTTCTTTTGCAAACAAACTTCTAAATGTAACAGAATCTACTTTTAATTGCATTACAAAAACACATATTTGAACAACTTTACTGGGATCAAAAAAGAACTTTTCAAATTCTCTTCCATCAAACAGGTCTGCACATCTCAACTTCATTATTATTTCAAATTTTCTGCAGAAGTTTGTTTCCTCTTTCCTACACAATTAAATTGAATGGTCGTTTGCAATTCAGCAGAGTGGCAGCAAAAGAATCTTACTTGCAAACTCCCGAAGGCACGGTCATTGATTGCCCATGTCTGACAAAGCAAACGAGCGCCTGTAGTGTACAACACACTGGATATGACACAAGAAAGGTTGTAGTTAAAAGAATATATATACAGATATAGATACGGAGAAAGGACAGCTAAGATTATTTTAACAATTTAATAAAGTTTTCAAAGTCGGAAGTAAATGATAAGCCTTTAAAGATTTAATGGCATGTTTCATCCATAAACTATTAGAATTGGCAGTTTCATTCTTATGCTTCATTTGGATTTATTACATCCCTGAATTTTTCTTGGTGGATGTCATGCACCAGAGTCCAACTTTCCACTAAGAAAGTTGAAGACTGACTAATAACCATAACCAACAGGTTTCAGTTATTGACTCGCACATACAGATGGCATTTTGACAATATATGTCTTTCATATATCATCCCAAATTCCTTCATTCTTGGAAAATCAGCAGCCTTCCTAGGAATCAACTACGCTAAGCCTCCAAAACCTCTACATCAGCATCATCCATGCCAACACCAATGACTACAAAAATTCGTTCATCAACTCTGCTTGCCTCTAACTCGGCAAACACCCTCAATTTGCAGTCATGAAGCTCATATCAAGCTTGGACCCATTCAGAACTTGAACTTCAAAACCATAATACATGTTCTGGATATAGTTTTTTCTTTTTTCCTTCTCTGGTAAAATCATATAGATTTTGTTTCTCTTAGTTCTGTTACTGTAATAGGTTTGATATTCTATTAAAAAATGAAGGGTTTTTATCTACCTTAATACTTCTTCTTTAGCAGCAACAATGTGGAAAGCTTAAGCTCTTTGCTTGAATTGATGATAATTTCACATACAATTTCATTTGCTTCTTTAAGGATTTTGGTTGTTTAATTTTTGTTGCTGGTTTAGGGTTCTGCCAGTCAAGGAGATCAAAGGCTTTTATTGTAATGGGGTTAGAAATTTGAGGAAGATATAATCAAAACATTTTCTGCTTTGCATGATTTGGATATATAGAGCATCCAAAGGATTAGAGAATGGTTTTGTCCATTTGTTGAACTGGAATGGTTATCAACACTTTACCCTTCTTAATTCTAATGTGGGATCTCAAGTTTGCCTTGTGGTTCTTATCAAATTCATACAGTTGGTAATTTAGTCAGCCAAACTAAACGATTTATAACTAATAGTTAATGTTGGCAGGTCAACATCTCTAGTGACAGAGTTTGGCTCAGTAACAAAACATGTGGAGCAAAATGTGTTTAGGCACTTGCAGCCCATCACAAAAGCTTAAGGATGAAACATCCCCAAACAAAAAGTTGGAGATAAAATAACGACTGAATGCTCATGAAATCTGCTATGTTGGCTAGAGAAAATGCTTCAACATCGAATGAGCGCAACAGAGTCTAGGACAGTTAGAATTGGATGATTGAGCCAAATAAACAGTAGTAGACAAACAATTACCAATAGTCAGACACAGTGCTTCAAATACCAGATATAGCATATGTTGCAATTTAACATACATCAAGTGCAATTCAGAGGTATGAAAGTAGTTCAAGACCATTGGTGTTCAAAGTAATGAAAGAGAATTATAAAACAGATAATAAAAGAAACCACTTGCTATGCAAAGTCCCGATATAAGAGATCCTATTAAGACAATTCAAATAGCCAACAGAGCCAACACACCAACAAAACAGAACCACACGATTAGTCAAGCAAGCCAATGTGGTACCAAATGGTTAGTTATCTGGTAAATATCAATAGGTTTTTCTCTTACGCACTGCCAATTATAGGTGTAGAGCATTTGGAGCATGCAATTATACCTAACTTATTGTATGTGTTATCCAATTTCAGCACTTGGTGGAAGTTTTAATTACAGATGGTGGGTTGCTCATCACAAGTATTCCATGGTCACATTATTTGCAAAATCAGTCAAACATAAGAGAAGCAATATATGTTTCGGAAAGGAAAACAAGCCTATTACAACTGTTAGAAAATATTCATACCAAATCAGTGGGCTACTGTGAACCACAATAAAATGACAATTCAAGCTGGCATGTCCTAAATATCCTAGGACAACTATGGACATGGCTATTGCTTCTACCATCTCTCCCTATCCTGTTCCACCTAAGAGGAAAAGTTCTAATTGTCCATAAGATATATCTCCCATCCCTTCATGGCATAGCTATGATCACCTCAATACACAATATCGCAAGGACAGCTCATTGAAATTTTTCAAGAACACAAAATGCAATAAAAAAAAGAAGAAAAAGACAAAAGACAAAAATCATGAGTTGTAGAGCACGTACGGGTTTCCATCTTTCTGAACCATTGGCAAGATTGTCTGAATTATGAGGGGAATCATCACAAAATGTGAAGCGAGTGATGGAAGCAATGACAGAAGTTTCGGCTGTAAGGACCAAAAAATTTACTGTGAAAGACATCAAAGAGAGAGCGGGATATACTCTTGTATCAACTAAAATTAGACATGAAGCAACATACGAAAAGAAAAACTCACCAACACATTCTGGTAAGTAATGTCTTTTCTGGTGAAGATGTTACTGTAAAATAGAATTGCTAACAGCAGTGGCACTCCCTGTTTGGGATCCACAATGCCAATAGCACCCAGCAAATCAATTGCTGTATCCCCAAATGACTGGTGCATCATCAAAACACCAGTAATGGCACTGAGTAAAGGGGGCATTTCTACAAGATAATAAAGTGGGTATAAAGTGAACATGATATTAAAGCACATCAATTATAAAACAATTTTCCTGAAACAATAGGATACCATGAAGAATGAACCAAACATAATTCAACAGTGTTATTTTATCTTACCCCTTATGAAACGTTCTTGAGACAGAGAAACAGATAGGGAGGATTTTCTTCTGTCTACAATCGACAAAATGTATTCTCTTAACTGAGAAGCCCAAGGTCTCGGTTTGTGGTGCATTACTTTGACATCAGTTTTGCAGCTGGAAGCAAAATTCATAAAAGAAGTGGAGACTGAAAATTGGTCCTGGAAAACAGAACAGACAGAATCTTACAAAACCTCAATCATCATACTATACTGGAATCCTAAATTAGATTGTTAATATGAGTATCAGATTTCTCTCATTTCAGAACAAAAGTGTGAAATTGAACTCCAGGAAGAACCATGTTTTCTTTCCTTTTCTTTTCCTGGCTAGGGGTGAGAACAACAAATGAAAAACACAAACCATATCCCAGGACTTACAATTGCAACAAGTCTTAAACAAACAAAGAATTCCACACTCAAATATAATAATCAGAATAATATTAAACCTGAAACCACAGGTGTTGCAAAAGCCTATAAGCAATAGACCCGGGGGAGCTGATTGAGGGAAATCCTGCTTCTGTGGCCAGTTCAGACTTTGGTGCTTTTGACAGTTCTACTAGGAGTTTTTCCAACATGACAAGCGCTTCTGCTGCTTCTCCTTTAATAGATCTAGACGTAGATGATAAAAGGCTGATGACAGGAAATGTGAACAAAAGTTCTTCACTCAAAGCACATTTGACTTTATCAACCTTGTGTTCTGCAAAATAAATAAATAAATTACCTTATATTGCAAGAAGGTTAACGATGGATGAAGAAGGGCAACTATACACAATGACAAGAATATTGAAAGTAGAATCAATTGTCCAGAAAAGGATTGGAAGTGAGATTGTGAAAATATCAAACTGTTAGTTTTCATCTTTTAACTAATAATTGCAGTTAAACAAGACATTATTACTGATGCAAAACACAAAATGCAAAGAAAGCATTGCAAAAAGCAAGGCTGCAAACTAGCTGAAGATGAAAGGCGAAGGGATGCCTTGCATAAAATTTTAAATAGACAGACAATCCTAAGGCAACTTAAATGATCATATGGCCTCTAAAAGTATTAAGAAAATACAATATTGTGCAACGACATACATACAAAATTTGCATCAGAACAATTTCCAATTAACCAAAAAGCTTTGCACAAGAAGATTAGGCTTTAACTTATGGACTTGTAATGGGTAGCCAATCATTAATGCATGCCAGGAAGATGAGAGTCAGGAAACATACCCTTTTCACTTTTCCATTTTAAAAGGAAGTTCAGGAGTTTCAATAAAGAGAGTTGTTCGTATTCAAGATCAGACTGAATCAGGACAACAAATAAGGATAGCAATATTGATGATAATGCAGGTATGTATTGCAAAGAAAGATCTTTCTGGACAACAAACACCCGCTTCACTAGTTGAACAATTGGTTCACTACCACCAGGATGCTCATGATGACACATCAATAACGAAAGAATAGCATCTGATAGTTCCACACCGAATAGTTGAGCCTCAGTAACCAGCTGTGAACATGGAGAAGAAAACAATTAACAGCAATTTATGGCAGACAGACTCCATGTAGCAATTATAATGATTCTATGTCCAAATAAAAAACGAACTCTCATAATATACAAATGAGAAAACAAATTGTTCTGAGGCTCCATTGAGAAACATACCAATCTGGTTTCAACCAAGTGTCTTAAAACCACCGTATATGCATCAACTATGCATTCCAGAAAATAAAACGAGCTCTTAAGCTCCTGCATATCGTCAAGAAATCAGAGTTAATAGCTATGAAGCAGCATTTAAGTTTAAATCAGTTAACTTTAAACTTAATCAGTTAAACGACATGAAAGTATAGCTCTATCTTAATAACAGAAATAGTAAAAGAAACAATTACTAAGCAAACACACTGACATCCGAGTTATTATGTGGCACGTGTTTAAGGCAACCTATCAGTAGCTTCAAAACCGGAATCGCCTCATCAGGGAACGAACAACAAAATGAGGCCATTGATGATATCAACTGCCTTGCAAACAAAGACGACGAAGAATTCGAAAAGGGCATACGTAGAATTGAGAAATTCAAAAAGGGTCTCAAGAATTCACAAATTTCCACCGTTCCCAATCTTCTATTGTGTCCCAAAAATAGTAAAACTTGCTGAACCAATTCAGACTGAACCTCAGTTCTCGATGATAAAACCTGCAATCCATAACTCAGAAATTAAAAAAAAAAATCAAATTTAATGAATTTACATTTTAATCAAACACAATAATCCCCAAAATAGCCAAACAAAAAATAAAATAAAAAGGAACAATACTAATCCAAAATAATTCCATTAAAATGTGATACTCCATCACGGACTTTTTTAATCCAGTTAAGTTAACAAACCTTAACAAAGGGGTGATTCTCAATAGAAGCAAACCGCGACGACCCATGATTCCTTTCGAACCCGACGCGAACGAGAAATCCAAGAGCTTTAACAAACAAACCTACAAATTTTGCGTCCGACCCTTCGAGTGCGGACTGGAGCTCCAACAAAGCGCGCGAGAGGTCTAATCTGGAGTCTAATACGAGGCGACAGAACTCGCGAACAGACTGGTCGACGACGGCTGGAGAGCCGGAGCGGAGGCATTGAGAGATAGCTTCCCTACCGGTTTCGGAATCCGGGTCGAGGTAACTCGACGCGGATCGTAGCTTCGAGAAGATAGAAATAACCGCGAATTTTTGAAGCGAGGGTTGTGGTACCCGTGTTTTCTGGAGTAAAGGACTGTAAGAGTCCATTTCTGCAGTGACAGTGAGAGAGCGCGTTGCGATTGAGACGGTTAAAAACGGAGGGAACGTTTTATGGCTATGTTAGAAACGATGGGGGATTCCGCGTTTCGTTTAGGATCCTTGCGATAGTGGTCGGGTAGACAATTTTTATTAGACAATTCGATCGAATTATAATCCGAATCCGTCAATTGTTTTTATTAAATAAATCAAATAAAAATCTAAGTCTAACTTCATCCTATCAACAATAATTTAATCTGAAATTTAATAATATTATTTTTAATAAATACAATACTTTAAAATATAAATATATTTAAATATAAAAAATATGCTAATTGATTTAAATTTAGAGTTTATTTATTTTAAATGATAAAAAATGCTCTTTGAACATTTTTTTTATATATTGATAGTTATTCTTTCAAACAAGTACAAATCCCAATTTTCTTTAAATCCTAAGAAAGCTTGAAAAAAATTTGATTCACGGTCCTCAAATCACTATATATTTAAAAAATCTATTTATATAAGTTATGTAAATTATTAATAATTTTTCTATTATACTGTTTCGATTTTGATCTAACTAACATTTGGATAGAATCGGTTATTCATATATAATTATCATGTCAAATTTCAAGTTAATTAAATATCTTAAATTATAAAAATATCATACATAATAATTATATTGAATAAAATTCAATTTTAAAAAGCTACTTATATAGATGAACAACTTATATGTATCAAGTTCATTTAAAACTCAACATTTATGCATTTTTGTCATCGCCAAATTAAGGCCATATAAAAAACGGGAAAATATCACAATCTGTCATCATCCATCATTTCCTAACTATCCGACCTTAATGCACTAATGTGAGTATCATACTGGAATTCAAAGCTCTTTTATTGAAAAATACAAGCACTTCAAGCACAAGGTCTTGAATTTGGTAAAGTTGGGTAAATAACTTTGAAAAAAGTATGAAAAATATAACATTAACACCAATCCTAAAAAATACTAGAGAGTTAGCCCATCAAAAGTAGTAAGGATCTTTTCCTCTCGTTACCTCACTCATATAGAGAGATATATCATCACTTTTTGAGAGCTCATCGGATAGCACATGAACCGATCGACTTATCCAACCATATTTTCCTAAATAGTACAACAAAAGGGTAAAGAGTGAATTTCAAGATAGGGTTGAAGGACACAACATTGAGAATTACAAAGCTTTCAAGAGACAAGTATAAACTATGATCAATAATGGATGGATGTCATTCATCGAATATGAAGGCACTTATTAAATCAACATATATCTTTCGACCAACCATGAGTCTTCTAATGGGAAGCATGAAGATACAAAGGCATTTAGTGAACCTAATGATTAGAAAACTCAACGGTGGTTTTAGATATCCAAAAGAAGATGGCATGGTTGCAAAAGATGCTCATACTTTGATGAGGAGGTCATTATTTTTTATTAAAGTTTCTAACATCCAAAAATGACATTTTTATTTTTCATTTCATTCTATCAAGGCTTAGCCATATATTTTAATGGTTATACTTTCCTTCCTTTTTATTAAATCAAAGTCAATAGATATTTTCTTGAAAGTATCCTTTAGAATTGTATTTTTATTTCATAAGGAATAGATATAGTGGCAAATATATTCATAAATTTTTAAAAAAATAGTAATAATTTTTTTGTCAAATTTCAAAACATATCATGCAATTGTTAAGAAGCAATCGTTTATTTTTAAAACTCGAACATAAATTTTTTACCATAAACGGTACCACTTGGAAGGAAAGTTTTGTAATAATAGATATCCATAAAAAGAAAGGTTAATGCTTAAATGATGGTAAAAAGCATTCAAAGAGGTCCTGGATTCAACTCTTCATTTTTTCTCCTCAATTTTCAAAACAAACAAAGCTCCAAAAGGGCTCGAGCTTTTTAGCTCGAAGCAATTGATGTTGAGATAAAAAAAATGTCATATTTGACGTATCCTTCACTAATGTACAAAGATCTCTTAAGATCCGCTTTTGAGCCTTGATAATATAGTATGATAATAACTCAAGACTAAAATCACCCCAACATAAAAATACGAGAGATGAATAGTTTTTCAAATTAAAGGGGTAAAAAAAATATAATAATAATAATAACTAAAGCTTATTGATAATAGTAACCAAAATTGAATTCATGAAAGCACATATCCAATTTATCCTAGCCAAAAAAAAAAAAAAAAAAGAAGGAAAAATAAAACAAAGAACAAAGAGAAAATAAAACATGAAAAAATGAAAGAAACAAAAATAAAAGAGGAATAATCATGAATTCATTGAAACCCTCATTCTGAAAAAAAAAATAAAACAAAGATTTAAGAGAGTAAGAACATCAATCATAACAATAAAATCAAGAAGGAACATTTGATTGTCAACATGGTCCTTAGTCTTTCAAATCCTTAAACTATTTAGAGCGTTTTATATCCTTTTCTTCAAGATACCAAAACCAACCTTTACATGCTTTTAAAAACCCTTTTTAATTAAAAAAAAATGAAATTGTTTAGACTGATGAGTTTTATTCTTAAAGAAAAGGAGAAAATATTCTCAAAAAAAAAAAAACTTGGTCTAGCGATTGTATATTATTGTTTATGATATTAAATCACAAGTTCTCATAACATGGAAAAAGGTAAGGTAAGGCAATTCTTTTAAGACCAAAACCATATTTTGACCTTACCCCGTTATAAATATGACCCCTCATTTTATCAAATACTATTCGAGCTCTTTGCTTTCCAAAACAATCACGTTTCTTTATTATTTCTCAAAAAACACGAGAGAATATCTATTTTCGGAACCTCTTTTACAAACTCAAGCATGATTGCATCTAGTATTTGATGATATATTCTAGCTTGTAACCAACTAATCCAACAATTCATGAATGAAAATACTTTTAATGCATACCTCCAAGATCTCTTTGTAATAATATGGACTAATAAGAAAAATACCATAAAAAAATTTGCTACTTGGTCTCCAAACAAAATGATGAGTTTCAAAAAGGCTTTTTTCAACTTGTTTAGGAAATTGATCGGAATTTGCAAAGTACGAATTAAAAGACTAAAGAAGTAAATAGTTAGGATGTCATTGAAATGCTCTATCACAATTAAGTGGATTGAACAAAGCTAAACCAAGTGGTAGGTAGACAACATATAAATATTCGAATTCAAGGAATAATATCTAAACATTAGGATAGGATGAAAATTATCGCTACTCGACATATAGGGAACTTCTAAAAAATTATTAAAAATTACCTGTTTATTTTGTTTTTGATTATTTACTAGAGCTGTGAGTTAATCAACATTTTAGCGTCGCCACCTAGTATTAAAGAGACTAAAAAACTAAAAAATGGCATTAGTTTAGATATTTTAAGTTAAATAGTCAATTATGCTTTTGAAAAGATATCAATCACCCAAAAGTATCATTTCAAAAGAAAGGTATCACGTCTAGTTTAATCCCAAAAGTTTATCTCATAAAGATTTTTAGTTATGCGAAATTATTTCGAATCAATTTCTAAATTTATTACCTAAGTCAAATTAATTTTTTTAATTTTTGGTTTATGGCATCATATTGAATCGATTGTAGAAATCCATCGCTAGGAGTCTCGTCATTCGGTATCAAATCCAGACTTAAATGTTGATATAACCGGTATGTCAAAGAATGAACTAATTACTAAGGTGATTGATTTGAATTAATAAAGTTCATTCTTATTGGATAGGAGACTTATTAAATTTGGTTAAAACTCTTTCTTTCTTTTTTTATTTTTTTCCTTAATTAAACTAAAAGTATTTTATTTTGAGATATGCAAGAAAAAATATTATCAAATTTATTTTTTTTGTTCATTTTTTGTCTACGGCATTGTATTTACACAAAATGTTGAACAAAATTGACCCGACTTGACTCTTTATTTTATTTTTTTAGCATTTTCATTATTGAACAAAATGTATCGAAACCTCCGTCCGTCCCTAATCAACAAAAGTATCATTGATTCGACATCACAAATAAATCAAATCCATACATTAAAATACAATTCACTATTTCTAGTTTTTCTAACACAAATAAAATTGAATATTATTACAAAACAACATAATAAAATTCTTGAAAATGATAAGGAAACAAACCGAGTGATCACTAAAAAGTCACCAAAATGCCCCTTGAAATTCCATTAGAAATTACCAAATAACCCTTTACACTAGAAATGACCAAAAATACCTCTAAAGGGGTAAACAATATTGGCGTGTGTGGCACATATGCCTAGCAAATTATGAAACTGCCTTTTAAAGTCGTAACTACTGCTACCACAATCCACAAATTGCCTTTTGATGAGTCCTCGGCACATGAATGGTCAAGGAATGAGTGCTTAGGACCTACTTAGTTTATCTAAAGTGGACGACGTAAGTCATGGTGTTCGAAGGAGGGAGATCAACGTCGATCGATGTTTACCATTTTCCCTTCTTCTTCAATCATAATTCGGAAACAATAAGAGATGAAAGAATACCAATCGACTTAAAAGACCATGAGGAGTGTTGCTCTAGTGGTTTAGATGTCCGATTTAACCTCGATCGGACGGTAGAAATAGGTTATGAAAATGGGTCTCTATATGAATTTTGCTTTAATTCGACCGATTTTAGTGAAGTTTTACCTAGATGAGATAACTTATACGGGGGTGAGGGACATTTCTTTGGTGGTTGTTGCGGTTGGTTTGGTCGAAAAATGGAGATCGGTCCGGGTTCCTAAATAGGTCGGGTCATTGATCTCTTCTCCTCTATTCTAGCCTCCTCCGACATCCTCTTCTTCTCCAACCGAGTTAGGAATGATGGACCCGAGGCTAGCTACTAATTAGTGATGATGGTTAGAGAAGATATCAACTAAAGGATGATGGATTTAAGGGAAAAATTTTGACGGGTCTAATCCATGGGTTGACGGAGTTTAGTTATGATTTTAAGAACTATTTGGTAGGTTTCTTTTGGTTTTAGGAAGAAGA